CTCAGAATAACGTTATTAGCACATTTTACAACTTGAGGACCGAATGTTTTTAAGGGCTATACAAATGTTCATACTGGGTAGTTTATTTAGTTTAAAAAAAATTATCCAACGATTTACAGATGTCTCTTTCCCAATGTTAGTCAATGGGAAAAAGTCTTTCCGAGCCCAGCGACTGATACGGAAGTGTAGTACCGCCATTTGGCCACAACGAATATTTTCCTCAGAGTCCGGCTCACTTCCTGGGGGCTTGGGATACACATGCAGCTGCTGAATAATGGGCGCCTTTGACCTTAAACCTCAGAGTTCAATATATCAGGTCCTGCTGTTGCTTTATGTCATGTTAATGGTTTCATTTTTAATCATTTTTAATCGACAGTGATTTACAGTGAACGTCATACAGTATGTGAAAGATTTTTTTTTCATAATTCAATTAAGTGATCTACTTTAGATATATATAAATATATATATTTAAAGGAGATGTACTTTTATATAAATGCACTTCTATACATCCGTTTTTAAGAAAACTATTTAAGGAAGTGTTCAGACCGGATTTTCCAATATATACTTTTTTTTTTAAATATTATAGAAAGAAATAACGAAAAACAACGTCATAACAACAATATACGTAAGTCTGCTGTTAGATGAAGAATACCACTTCAAATAAATGAAGTTTGGCGATATCAGCCTGCTATATCAACATTTTTCGATGTGTGATTATGCCACAAAACTACTTGGTTCGATTTAGGAAAAGGATCAGCAATTACTCAAGTTTTAAGGCATACTGTAGGACCAAGCTATTAAAATTGCCTTCCGGTTTCACACAGGTTTTTATTGGTTATATTCCTTTGTCTTTAGAGAATAAGCAGAATAGAGCCCTTACACAGCTTCTTCTTAGATGCAGTACCCTTTGAATCTGTGTCTCAGTGGAGCAGTATGGTTTATATAGCTGGGTGGGGTAAAAATCTAACAAAGATTACATTTTTTGACCAAGAAAAAAACTAGGTCCATGTATAGTCTTTAAGAAGCAGTTGAAATCTCTGGATGAAACTCAGTAGACCTGCAGTTAAAAGTGTCTCACTATTCAACACTCATCATCAAGTTCAACATTGAATGTCATTATGGCCAACTTTAATATTCAAGATTTACATGTGGTAATCTGAGTTCAACAGGACAATTTCCTGTCGTATTCCATCCTGCAGTATTATGTACTCTTATGTAGAAGCATCCATTAATACAGCACAGAGCTGCATGGCTGCTTCTGATAAAACCACGACAGTTTCTCTCACTGCACAGGACTGTTGCTTCCAGTCCAGTAGAAATGCCGATTCAAAAACAATTAATTGGGAAATTGCTTATTGTCAGAGTATCCTGCCACCCAGAGAAGACCATTCCTGTTAAAAGATGCTGCTACATCAAACTAGCCCATGAATCCTTTCCAGGATGCTGAAGAGCAGTCAGAATGTATTTTATTTCCATCCAACCATTTGTTTAGGCCCAGTTATTGTCTGATAAGCAGAGCAAGCTCCTTTATTTAATAGTAGCCACTTAAAAACACAAACTAGGCAGACTGTTTAAAGGAAAAGTGTGTTGTTGTGCCAGGAATAAAGACAGTAACTCTCTGTGTATCTCCATTCAAAGTTTTATTTTTTTATAAAAGAACAAAAGAAACAAAAAAACAGCACTGAGTTTCTGTACAAATATTACTCTTTCACCCAAGCAGAGGACTACATAAATGTATTTTTTTTTCAAGCCCACATCAAAATAAAAGCCTGATATTAATATCATAAGAGACAGTGTCCCCTCTCCTGCGGTGTGTTCACTGTACAGTGAGGACTTTCATATTTACATAAAGAAGTTTCAAGAGGGTACAAATAACTTTGTGGTGAATGCATACAATAAACAAATCCAGAAATGGAAACCAAAAAATATAGATTTATGAATTTACAGATGAATTTCTATGACCATTATATTTTATATCTAAAGGAGTATCATTTATATTCTATATAAGCATTGAGGCAACACAATAATACAACTCTTCCTATAGTTTAGTATCTGTAACATGCATATAACCATCATTCCTCAGCTTTTATTGGTGGATTTTACCCCATAGATTTCTAATAACTTTACATTGTAGGTATCGTAGGACCCCCGGAGGCCCCATTGCATTGATAATGGTGCTTCTTTCCAGTTAAAATGGACATGAATAGAGATATGAGCCTGTAGGTTTTCAACAGAACAAAAGACTATCACTGAAAATGTGACGAATTCCGAACCTGAAGGACAAAAAGAGAGAAGTTGAAAAAGTTTAATAATTCGGACCCCTGCACAGCTAAATGTAGGATTGTCTGTTTGTGAAAAGACATAAATAGTCATACACATCCCCCTAATATAACATCAAACAGGTGTGTGGGGGGGATCTGGGGCTATTCAACCCTCTGAAAAGCCATTCTGATGGAGTGTACTGGCCCCTTAACACGTATAATTGTAAATAAGCAAAAGAATATCCACAGAGAAAAATTGGCATCTCTATCTAGCTTCCTTTTAATGGCCGATGTCTGGAGTGATGAGTTGGAGTTCATCCAGTTAGGATGACGCATCTTATTCTTGCTAGGTTTTATCCAAATGTGGTACTCCCACTACATCTTCACTAAATGTGTGTTGATAGGGAAAGATGGAAATAATACCTCTCTAAGGTCTATGAAAAGTAGAGAAAAACTATTATTTCTGTGTGAATATCCTTGAAACTTTAAAAGAGCTAACACAGCCTCCAGTTCTGGCTTCCAGTTGTTGATGTATGTGTGTATGAATATGTTGAGTACCATTACAACATATTCTGTGAAATAGAAGTCATGTACATCCGTTTCATCCAATGATATTTTTCTGCTTTTGTGGTGTTTAACTTCAGTGAATGCAATCCTTTGGCTATGGAAAAAGGCTTTTTTTGTTCCTAAATATTGATTGAATTGCTTTCTCACAAAAAAAGCTAATGTTTAATCTAAACTTTACTGAATGCAGTGGAATGTTATAAATACTTTCAGTGATGACATGCACTGAAGTTGGAAAAAGAAGTAGACGATACTAAAAGCAGTATTCCTATGCTCATCAGTCTTCAGGTGGGCTACGTTTAAACAATCACTCTACAGTCAGAGGTGTGGTAACACCAGCATAATCTGATATTAGGTCAAATGGAATCATACGTGTCTAAGGCCCCGTCCACACGGAGACGAAACGGATGTTATCCGCGATAGTTCTTTATCGTATGGACGGTTCGTCCACACGAGGCCGTAACGGAACCGCGGAAACGGGGTCATCAAACGATAACGCATCCCAAAGTGGGAAGGTCCGGTAACATAATGCTTGCGGCACCGTGTGTACGCCCCAAACGATCATAGCCCCGCCTCTCCCACCTCTCCTGCTCACCCCGCGTCATTGCTGATGCGTTTCGCAACAACAATGGCGGATCACAGGGTTGCGTTCATGCTCCAGACGCTACTGACCATGATAAAGATTTTAGGGCAACATTTACAGCCGTGTTGACGGGGCCTAGGTCATTAGACAATAACTTTGGCTTGGAACTCTACAGTTACAAAGCTCTGTCCTTGGATGAAGGTTATCTATAACATCAGCCACCATGCAAATAATCAAGATCAGCGTCATGGGAGAAGAGCAAGATGGTGGTGAGAATCACAAGACTAGTTGAAAGGGGAAAAGGGATAAAAGGCAGATTACGCATTGAAGGGAAGGAATGTGATTGAAGACTGAGGAACGGAGAAGGATCAGTATTGTCCTCTGCTGAATGGAAGATGAGGCACAAGGGCGGGATATATTCTATGTGCGGCTGTCTGTCTGCGGGCTGTGGCTGGTATGCAGGAGGTCAGATATAAATGGAGCCCTCCCAGCTAACGTACATTAACTGATTAGTGTTATCCTCCCTGTGAAGGATTTGCAATGTGTTGTCAAAAGAACTGTTTGATCATCACAACAAGCATGGACATGACCAAAGGCACTCTTTAGAGATCATTATTTTAGTTATGTATTAAGAGTGCACAAGGTAATTTACTCTCAATATAAATGATTCAATGAGTGATATAATACTCAACTGAATTCAAAGCAAAGATTTTAACATGGGACTAACTTAATGCTGAGAAAAACACTGTATATAACACATATCATATAGCATCACATTCATACAGTTTTATACTCTCGGATTAAAAAAGAAGTTATACTTTACACAAAAATGAGCAAATTAAAATTAAATCATCACAATGTGGCACTTTCGCAGTCAGGCCTTTACCTAACCCTGTAGCAATCAAAAATATAAGTGCTCAATGATCCTGAACATTTACTTCCCCCAAAAAACACACACACTTCTCTGAACTCTCTCCGACATGGAGGGTATGAATAGTGTCCCATATGAATCTACACTTAAACTACACTGAAACTGGGAGATGTGCACAAGTACATGATTCATCAGAGGAGGCGGTGAAGTAGGGAATCATGTATGTCCTTACTACAATATGTGTCACATGTATGGATGGATATGTGAAATGTCCAGATAAAGTCTGTTTATACAATCAGACACATTCATCCGGTTTATATACTGTAACAAGGTACGGTTAAACTACTTTCATCAGTTCAGTCACTTGCAACAGGTGTAGAGTGGTGTATTGTATGTAAGAAGGTCTTCAAGGTTGTTCCTTTTTTCTATTCCCTTTGGAACTAACCTTTTCATGTGTATCTGTGAACAGTTGACTGCAAAAAGAACGAAGTAGTAATCTAATAATTTTATCAAATGTCACTCTGGCTCACGGTTTTGACTTCACCTTATTTCATAAACTCATCCCATTTGTTCGTGGTTCAATCCTCTAATTTAATGTCCACTAGAAAGCAAACGGTGAGAATTAATCTAAATAATATAATTATGAGAGTCTAACTCTTGGGTTCAGCTATAGTGGCAGTGTCCTGAGGCTGCCATGGTCTTTTCTTCTGTGTCACATCTTCTAAACAGTCTGGAAGGCCTTGCTTTGGGCAGGGATCATGACAGGAGTGGCCCCCATGCGGCTCAGGTTTGCAGGACTCAGTTTAGGGGGGGGGCTGGGCTTGCTGTTGGAGGTAGAAATGGAGGTTGGTGTTGAACGGGGTTCGGGAGTCTTGAGAATGGACTGAGTGTAGCCAGGTGGAGACTGTGGGAAGTTTGAGGCATGACAGTTTTCTTTGAGCGCCGCCACAGCAGGAACACAGGCTCGCTGGCCTCGGAGCCCCATGTTGTGCACCATGGACTGAGTGGAGGAGGTGCCTGAGCGAGAGCTGCCAGAGCGGGATGAAGACAGGGAGTTGGGCTTCACCAGTTTGGCTTTGGGAGCCTCTGCATCCTCCCTGAAATGACCACATGGTTGCATGATTTCCAGTTATCACATGCACAATCTCAAGTTATGTGTTTATGAAGACAATAGAAGTTTGTTTGCTTTCAACCCTCTTTTGGCTGGCTACATTATTGATAGGTAGAGACCCCCAGCAGCCTGCATTATTCATCCGGACACTTGCAAATTGCTAACAGTGATTGTTGAGGTTGTGTATGCAAACAAAGAAATAACTAATTGAAAACTAATTATGTTTTAACAAATGGTGCTAACATTTCATGCAGCATTTAGGGAATCATCTCCATGAAGTTCTGGTTGCCCACTTTTGGAACATGGGCAGTCGGACACTTCACTACTCCAGAAGTGCTTTGATGATAGTGCTAAAAGAGTATACCTGATTTCATTTGGGGTCTCTTCTTCTTCATATTTCTTGTTATCCTTTTTTCGAAACACCAACCAGACGATGAGGATGATTAGGAGGACACCAAAAGACACGCCAACCACCGCCCCTGCTACCACACCCATTCCCCTTACATCTACACACACACAATCACACAAAACACACACAGACAGAAAGTTTGATTAGAAAGAGTATACTGACATTAGGCCTAGAAGGGAAATTGATATTTCTATATCCGCCTTATATAAATAATGGCTGCAATCGTTCTGTGTTGCTATATTTACAGATCTAACCAAGGCATTTGATACACTAAATGGGCCCATGTTAACTAACTTCCTGAATAAGGTTGGTACCAGTTGTAAAGTTGCTAGTTGTTTTCAGAGTTGTTTAACTGATTACATGAAATTTGATCAGTTTGGTTTCTGATCCTGTTGTGATACAGAAGGGGGTTCCCCAAGGATCTATCGTGGGGCATCTAGTTTTTCCATAATGCGATCACATTTGTGTCTACATAAAACACTCAATGTAGCATATGTATTCTGATGATACGGTGCCGCATTGCAGCATGCTTTGAATCATTTGAAACTGCTTTTAATGCAAACTAAATTAATACTATGTTCATTTTTTACACCTAGGAATACTAAGGAAAATTCCCTCTCTATTAGCACCCTAAATTTAAGACAGGAATAAACCTGTAATCAGACTACAGTGATAGCATTTAAAGAATTGCTTGTCACACTACTTTGGCTTTACTTTACCCTCTTTCTCATGCTGCTTTGTGATATATGTCAAACTCAATCTACAGGATTCATTACTGTCCATTGGTTGGATGGTCTTTACTTACTACTGAACGCACAGGTCTTTACTTACCAAGCACAGGAATCAACACTGGTATCATTCTTAAGTAAAGACCATTCTGGGCAGGTTATTAATTCACATTACGAACGAAATACCTATGATCTTCAATCCAATAAATGGCTGGGCTTGAAAGTTCTATGTGTGGACTGACAATGAAGAAGGGGTCTTCCTTAGCCCTTTGTCTCAAAATGACCTCCAGAATACACTTACACTAGAAACCCTCATCTCTCTGGACACTTTTAAGTGATGGTTGGCTGAGGTTTTTGTCACAGTGTTCTTGTTCTCTTCTTAATGCATCATCTATGCATGTGAAATGTTTTACTGTAACAAAACTGTCTTCTTCGTCAGATCGCTATTGTAAGAGAGATTTCATCAAAATCAGTTTTATCTGTTTAAAAAACCATTCAATTAATTAATTAAATATTAGAGACATACTTTTAAAGAATCCTTTTTTCCCAGAATTGTAAAAAGCAGAAACAGATTGGACCTCATGTCCCAATAAATACACTTTTATTTGCTGGTGCTTTACTTCCTGACATCCCGCCTTTAGAGGTCTTTGGGCTTAGTGTCGTACCACTTGGGGTAAACTGGTGATTGAGTTGGTGATTGATGGATCTAATCAATAGTAAGGGCAGTAAATCATGCAGGTGACAGCAGCAGTTTGCAATATAGCTGTTGTTTATGGCGAGTGGTCGCCAGTCATATACAGTACTATATTTACAAGACTACCCTTGAGGGTCCTAAAATGATAAAATTGGCTAAATCAACAAGTCCTTTTGTAAGATATTGTTGGATTAGAGCGTGTTCAAAACAAACCCACTATTTTCTTAAATAGGATTTAATCAGGTTTGCTGATTAAATCCTATGACATCCAAAACAATCTTGGATTTTACATTCCAATGATTATTTCAGTAGCTTTGATCAGTTTACCATTGTTAAAGTTATTATTGTCTATGGGGTTTTAGATTAATTTTAGTCGTCACATGTCCATATCTTCCAAATTGGTTGAGATCAGCCTGGAAGATAAGCTCCTGAAGTTCCATGAAAACAAATCAAATCTTCAAATCATAGTGTAGTTATATTGTCTAGAAATGATTAAAAAACACATAATAGAGCAATACACTGGGTGACATGTTCATTCATTACCATAAACACAGAACACTGTAGTTTATTTTAACTAAAGTGCACACTTTCCTGCTGCCTGACTGGATCATTACACCTGTATTATTCCACCACAGAAAATAGACCCCACAAATAACTCTTTTGAGAAATAAACTAAATATTTGTGAAGTATTTTAAATGATTTATTTATGTCTTTCCCTGGTCTTGACAATAAGAAAAAAATATCCTCGCCCTTATTTTTGAAATGTCATTGTAAGTACAACTAAATATGGTGGGGCGTAAAGTTTAAAGTGCTTCCAAAACCTGACTTTTAGTCAGCCACGCATTGATTTGGTGAAATCGCAGGTGATGATTATTTGTAAAAATCATTTGTTGGTTTTCAGATGCTGCGTGAACAATGGGTGTGAAAGCTGCATCCTTTTCTGAATGCACATTTGTGGATGTATTGTTGTTTCAGTGTTCACTAGGGTTTCCACTCACAGTGCAGCTTGACCTCCACCATGCAGCTGTCTTCTCCCACATCGTTGCTTGCCGTGCACTTGTAGACCCCGGTGCTCTCCTTCGTCAAGTTCTTCAACGTCACAATCTCTGGGTTTTTCAAATCTGATTGTACCAAAAAGGAAAAAAAAAGTATTCATGGCGTGTATTAATTTCCTGGTCTAAAAGACTGAATGTGTTTTGAATATAATGCTTATTGAGTTAACAGAGCTGTCTGACTGATTCTGACTGGTTTTGTCCCCTTTTGAAGATATATACTGTATGTTAATGACTAGCCAGAAGAACCATCAATTAAAAAAGAAAAAAAATGAGGGGACAGAACCTCTATTTAACCTATAACAGTTGACTGCCCCCGAGTCAGCAGAAAAAGCAATAAAGTCAAAGAGCTGAAATATGTCCGCACAGTCCAGCGATCTCAAACTGAATCCCTGTCCACCAGTGTTTTTGCCTTCAAAGCTGATAAAGAGAGACACTCCACACTCAGCTGATAAATCACAACCCTTTCACTACTACAAATCTGTCACATTGCCTAGTGTTCTCTCTTTCTTTTTCTTTTTTGCTGAAGCATTTATTTTGGATTGAACTCTGAGATTTTAAACAATGCAAAATGAAATACAATTTCTGATACAAAAAATAAATTCCAGAAATAATATTCCTGTTAAGCTAGTTCAAGTGCTGTCTTATAGCAAACCAGGGCTGTCCCAATATATTTTCCCAACATTTCTGGCATGTATGTTTGTTTATTTAGTTTTTGCAGTATTGTGTGGTCAGTAGTTTATTGTGTGTAAAATGTATGTGTTTTGGTGTCGTGCATTCCTATATTATACATTTAAAAGCCCAACTTGGTACAGGAGTTGAAAATAGGCAATAGATAAAAACTGTCTGTGCTTGACATTACAGAGCTGCTGCAAATTGTCCAAATCAAATCAAAATACCGTCAAATAGAACCTACAGACGTGTGAGCAGACTTACCCACTAGGGCCATTGAAGGCAGCTTCCCACCATATTTGCCCTTGTCCACAACCCTCTCCCATTTGTAGTGGAGGGGATCAGATCCGTCCGCAGACTTGCAGCTCATCTTGACATCCCCCCCCTCCAACAGTTTCCCCTCCATCCAGCACCGCGGCTTGGACGGCTTTACTGCAGAGAGACAATCAGATACAAGCACAGATATTCTTACACAATGTCTCCTCAGCTCGTTTTCCAAACAAGATTGGTGCTCTCCACAGGGGGCTGAAGCATAATGAGACTGTATGTAAGTGGAGATTTGTGTTTATTAGATTTGTGTTGCACTACATCCTTGTATATTATGTTTGATGCTAGTTTTATACTTGGACTTCTGTTCATAGTGGGAAATACATAACTAATTAGTCCTGTTAGCCATACAGGGCTTCACTCAGCTGATCAGTCCCAAATACGATAAGATAAGATAACATGGACCTTTATTAATCCCCGTGGGGAAATTCAGTTGTACAAGCAGCAACAGGGTAAGTGTGAAAAACAGGACACAGATTCACACAGATTAACAAAATAAAAAATAAAATCAAGAATTTTTTTAAAATAATAGTGATAATAATAATAAAAGACTATGAAATAGGAGATGAGTAAAAATAAGAGTAAAGTAACTGTCAGCATATATACATATTTGGGCATATACATTTTGAAGTATGAAATGAGTTAAAGTGACAAGTGAAAATGGACATCTGTACATATAGTGACATATCTATCTAAATATTTGGTCTACTACTAATATATTAACATGGTTTGTGGAAACAGTGTATATTTATGTCCAGTGATTTAAAACAAAAATGTTTTTACATTATTGACTCCTTGTTTTGCATGGCTACAGGCACAAAGGACTGTCTGAGGCGCTTGGTGCTGTGTCGTGGAGGGATGAGTCTGTGGCTGAACGTACTCCGCATCTTCACAAATACGATCTTCAGTGTTGACATCAAGAGGTTGTTACCTAATAATGTTGGTCTCAAAGTGGAGCTTAAGGTAGTTTTCTCCAACGTGTCAAGGCAACATGGGCAGCTTTGGAGGTCTACCATCATTCTTTTTTGTAGCGTTTTATTGTTGAGTTAAGTGAATACATCTGAGCAATGTTGCAGTGGTGAGGATCAGAATCAGAGGGGCTTTGCTTGTGACAAGGACAACAATAAAGGATGTTTTACAAGTCCATTTACAGCAGTGGAATTGGTTTATTTAAAAAAAAAATCTGAGATAGGTCAGGTGGTTTAGAGGACTTACAGTACAAACTGTATATGTACCAGTGAAGAATTGAGGTTGAATTCATTGTAAAGGAGAGTTGATTTGGTGCTGCACCTCAGGATCATGTGATTATTCCCTGTAAATGCAGTAAAGTCTGCTCTATTTTAACTTTGTTTGTCTACTTTCTCTTAAAAAGGACTAAAACTGTGGCTGGGCCATATGACATATATCTTCTTTTACGATATAGGGAATTAAACAATTTACAGTATATCACAATATAGCATTTTTTCAGGTAACTCATTTATTAGTGACTTTATAGACAAACAATTTGTAAATATAGCCCTAGCCTAGTGATAGAAACGAAAATGTAAATGATATGTATGATAGACATTTCTATCTGGTTTTGACAATATGATGTGTACAGTATGATTTCATATTACGCAGCCCTAACCAAGACCAACTATTTGTTTCTAGAAAGTATCTTTCAGACAGCAGTTCATATAAACTCACGATACACCAAGCAGCACATTTGATCTAGTTCTTAAAAATTATGATTTTCAAGATTTTCTTGAAGTGACTATAACATGAAATCATAACTAGCCGGCAGGACAAAAAGAAGGTGTTAGCATCAACAAGTGGTTGTGGATAAAAAAGAGAGAGGGGGGAGCTTTCCCTTCAGGGAGGGCGGCTCTATTGTGGAACTTTCTGACCTTGTATGATTGCAGTCAACCATTTGAATCTTGAGCTGTTGTGACATATTTAGGATGAGAGGGAGACCTGCGACAGCCTCTCAGAACAGTGTTGTTGGCTTTCTTTGCCTTCAGTGCATCACACTTCATCTGCTCATACACAAGAAAACCCACTCTGACAATTCCAATATTCAATCAGCAAAGCGATTTCATTGGCTGTCACCTGCGTCACTGCTCCAATGTTAATCTGACTGCTAGAATTGACTGCAGCTGTAAGTGTCTGAATCACGTTTAATATATAGGAAGCAGATTTGATGTAAAGCACTGCAGACACGGCTGAACTTAATACAAATGCCTTTAGTGCTTTAGTAACTTTTTCCATTTAAAAAAGGATATACTGTGGGGTGGAATGGCACTGCTGTGAGAAGTGACTTGATGCTTAATGTGTGAAGGTTAAGCTGCCTCTGGGAAACGCAGACTGGAAGGGGATGCAATAAATAATTTAAAAAGGGATAGCAGGACAATCTGCTGGGGTTTGTTTATTCCAGTGATGTATTGGATAGTAAAGATGTTTTCTCTTCTTATGGAACTGTATGCATTATAGATGTACTGCGATCTTTTTCAGATTTAATACCAACAGTTTGAGCAATCAATGAGAGCAGATCGTGAGCAGATCATATGTGTACAGAACAACATGCTGATCATAATACTCTGACATGCCTATGCAGTGTGTGGGATTAAACCACTGCCCCTCTGATTGATAGATTAGCTATCAACCCTCTGAGCCACCACATACACAAAATATATATTTTACATAGGTGAAAAAAATACATTTACTTAGTTGAGTACAATTTTGATACTTTACTTACGTATTTCCATGTGATACTACTTTATTTTTTTCTCCACTACATTTCTATAGCCTTAGCTTTAGTTACTCATTACTTTCCAGGTTCAGATTATAAACTAATACATCATATAAATAAACTCATAAAATAACCAGCAGAATTGTATAAAGCAATACAAATTAGCTCCACGTTTACCAACTGCGATTAACACATTAATGCATCAATATTCATATTCCAGTGATTTAATATATGTGATTCTAAAATAGGCTATATACTAGGGGTGCACCGAATGGGTAATTCTTGGCCGAAACCGATACCGAAAATAGGAAACAGTTGGCCGAAAACCGAAAGCCGAAAGGCCGAAAATGATTAATAGAAATATATAATGTATACATTTTTTACCAATGTTGTTCAGCTGCCTGATTATGGAAAGATAAATGATTATGGCAAAACTTAACTTAAATAATAATCACTATTATGGGTCCATAAAACATTTATTCAGCACTTTTGAATGCATACAGTACATTAATTCCAAGTCAAGTGCATTTTCTTTTCTCTGTAGAATAACTACAACAAAGTGCATTCAGAACAAAGCCAAGGTGCTTTAAAACTGCATAAACATCTAGGCCAGTAGGCCTACAACAAAATAGTGTAAATAAAGACTAACAGCCAGGCCTTCAACAACAACAAATGCACCTATAAGTGCATGCATACAAATGTGCAAACTGGATAAATCCACATGAATGTAACTATTTACAAATGAAATTACAATTGAATGTCAAGAATCTGTAAATAAGGCTGTCTGTCCTCATAAGCAAAGTAGTAAACATTGTATAAAGATACATAAAGTGAAAACTGGATACAAAATCCACAATCAATTACAAATTAAATTACAATTTCAAGAATCTGCAAATAA